GCTGAATGTAGCATATTTTCAGCCTAATTATTAGTGATTGAGCCTGTAGCTTGTTAGCAACGTGTAGCACAGTGCTGCCACATAAGACTTAATGGTGTCATTCTTCACCAAGCCTAGGCCAAGCTAGCCACACAAACACCTGCAGCCCTGCCTCTTCTTCTTTGGACTTTACTCGCATAGGCAATTCTTTTGAGATGCATTACTGCCACCCAAGGTTTAGTGGAAAATATTTCATCTGGGGGACATTGTGATTATAAAAAAAGGAGAACATACACTGGAAGTAGAAACCTAGTTGATGTTTAAGGACAGAATATTGTCAGACAGAATATTAGAGTGCCTTTGAAAATGCCAGAGGGAAAATGACTGTAGGGGTTGTTCTGTGAGTGTGTACTGCGTACTACACCTTCAGTCAAGTTGCCGACTGTTATGGCTACAGCTCACGTACACTTTGAATCAACATCTTACCTGTTTTCGTGACTTTTTCTGCCCTATTTTAACACATTTTGCGTAAACCCTGAAGCTCCCACTGACCTCACGTGAACACCTTCATTCCCAGTCAGACCAGAAGAGTAGAAGCAAATGACATTGTCCTCTGAATGATAACCACCGTGCTGCAGGTGACTCAGATCCTGGATCCCAAACACACAGTAAACACTCGCAGCAGACAGACACCTGGAGGTTAAATGTAGGGCAAAGTTTTCCCATTCCCACAAGTTCTGAGTAGAGGCGGAGGCAGGGGATTTTTGACCCTCTTCCTCCGCACGACTTCGCTGAGTCACTCCTAGAGGGGAGGGGGTTGGGGTGTCTGTCTAAGAAGGTGGATCTGATGTTGTCTCTGGTTGGGTCCCTACTACTAAACAGCCATATTTTAAGTGCGAGAGAGAGAGAGAGAGAGAGAGAGAGAAAGGGAGTGCTTTAAAACTAATGTAACAGGGGGCTGATTTAAGGTTGTTACTAAGGAACTTGCATTCATGTTCTAACAAATAGATACCAAACTTCTTTATTCCCTCCAGTCACTTCCTAAATCAGTCTTTCCAACCGGCGGCATGAAGCCCCCTGTACGTACACGAGTGCATTGCAGACTTTTTTTTACATTTAACATTTTAAATAGGTCTGACAAATGACAGCTGTAGATCAATGAAACAATTAATAATTGTTTTATTGATAATGTAAATAAACTTGATTAATAGTGATTACTGAGATAAATAAATTTCCTTTAAAATTCTCTACATCACTGGAAGATGAAGACAAATAAGAACAGTTAGAGGTCAGCGTTTCTCTCCAGTTTTTTATTGTGACTATCAAAATGATGGAATTACTAATATGGAAAAATGTCCAAAAGTGTGTGGGAAGGACAATGTGTGTATCGATGGTGTAAACAGTGGGTGAAGAGTGGAGTTGGTTCAGTCTGCTTATGTTTTAACATTAATAAACTTTTTATAATTTCTTGAATAGATTTACACCATCAACAGGGTAATTTTGATGTCCATTATTTTTTTATGTTCAAACAGACATGGTAAAAAAAAAGTTAAAATACACATAATCCAACAATGAAGGGACTATGTGTATCGTTTTAATGGAAATAAACACATTTGCTGATGCAGATGAATCAGAAGAATATGTATGACTTTTAATGAAACCATAATGGATCTGTGCTCTGGTACTGGATCAGTTTCTGAGGACAGCACACTGCTCTGCTCTGACGGCGGGAGGTCAACCTACTGTATTGATTAGACAGGAAAGAAGTTTTGAGAAGTGCCAACTCTGAGGTCTATGCATTATACATTTTACATTACATATTGCAGTAGAGGATCGACTGGGGCTGCCACTGAAACCCTTCAGGCCTGGACCATTTCCAGAAACCCTCTCCTGTTTTCTCTTTGCTGTAGTTTTTTTTTTTTTTTTGCTCTGGTTCGTCCTCACCTCTCTTCATTTTCTGCAGCGAACACGGGATTGTTTGTAACTCTGCAGTGATGTCCCACCAACAACAGAGAGAGGTGAAGTCAGAAGAATGTGGATTTGTTCAGGAGATAAAGACTGTTGTCCATACGGTGTAGGTGTTTTTCTTATAATAGGACATTTTGCCCAGAGTTGCAGGTTTACTTCCTCCGTTAATAAGGATCTTGATGTGTGTGTGTGTGTGATGGATAATGAGTCTGCACAATGAAGGCTCATATTGACCCTCCAGGGTGTGTGATGTCATAGTTTCCAGTGAAGTTTGTCTATCTTTAAAAAAAGCTTAGTCATGATACACACACACACACACACACACACACTGGCTTCTGTGGTTTGTGAGGTCTTCACATGGATATAATGCATTCCCTGGCCCCTTACTTTATACGTCTAATCTTAATCCTTAACCTAACTCTAATATCACCCTTAAACCCCAAACAACATTTTAAATCTCAAAATACTCCTTTACTCAAATAATATTGTCCCAACAATAGACTTTTGTCCCCACAAGTAAGCTATATCTGGTACTAACACACACCTATTCTCCCTTCATATCTATGGTCACTTCTCTTTTTGAAGTTGTTTGTTCCATGAGTCAAAACTCACAATTGTGACAAACGGTGTTTAAATGATAAAAAACCCAAAACTTTAATCTTCTTCAGTTTTCAATGCCTTTATAAAAGTCCTGGTCCACATATTCCTCCTGTGACACTACATATATATTTTACTTTAAAATATTGTGGCACGCAGCAGCACTGTATTTATTTTCATTTTACACCTTGAATAAAAATAAATGTGTGTTGTAGTACCAGAGAACCAGAGTGTCTGACTCAGACTCCACCCTCCTCTCAAATATCAATTGTTTTTTGCCTAAAACTCACCGACACTATGAAATTCAAGATTTCATATTTTAGAACAAAGTACTCACTTTCGAGTCACAATTTATCACCTCAGACGAATAATACGCAAATATTTTCATCAACATTTCACCCGAGTCTCCTCAACCTTTCCTGTCACTTTCTCCCTTGTCATTACACCCTCACCTCGTCCTTTCCTGCCCTCCTTTGTCTTCTCTCATTTCCTGTGGTATTGGGGATATCGTCTCGCCACAGAGTCTCATCTTCTTGCCGTCTCCACCCGCTCAGAGGAGCTGATCTCTCCCTTTAGACTCTAAGACTTGGATAATGTTCCTCTTAGTCTGAGACATCTCTCCCTCTCTCTGGGCTGGCCTCAAACTACACATCCATATCTGTGGGTGATGTACAGGTGGATGAAAGAGGAGAAAGGAAAAGGATCAATAAGCAAGAGATCAATAGGAAAGCCCTTGATCCTTCATTTATTCCTGCCGCAGGGCCACTCACACAATCAGCTCAGCTTTGGTTCCCTCTGATGGACACAATTCTTACTGTCTGTTTCTTTAAATGTATTTATTTTTACTTATCAACCATCATTACAGAAACAGAAAATAACTACACGCTTTGAACTTTTTTTTTTCAGGCTCACATTGAGTTCCCCATGTTTTTGTTGTCTGAGGCGACATCCAGTGTTGACTCTGAACAACGCAGGTCGGTTTTTGCTTTTAGTTTTTTTGCTTACGCTTTGCTTTGCCGCCCTGTTTCGACTGCGTGCAGACTGTGGGGAGCTGACAACTTCCGGTTGTAAAAGTTGACTTTTTAAAATTTAAGAATGTTAAGTTCTGTACAAAGAACTTAACAAAGACATAATGCATTCTATAGATCTCAACCTCAAAACAGACAGACTTTATTCTTGCCTTAAAACTGATTATGCCTCTGTCAAACGTTTAAGTGTCATGGCAGAAATAGCGCTCATTATTATTTACGTCTTGCATCACCACCTGTTACATCGTGCCTTGCTTAGAGGGACGTCGGAAGATTAAAGGGGGTCGAATCGTCCTTCGTTAAATGTGTAACGAGGGCAAATGTTCAAGCTGGATACAGGAGCGCAACAGTATTCGCCAGTAATGCCTACTCAGAAAAATGGCACGGCCACTCACCAAAGCATCCATACCATTGTGTGGACCGAGCAATGAACCTCTACATGAGAGAGGTCAGTTTGATGCTGTCATGAAATACAAGGACAAAACAACAATACAATACAATAGTGCCACTGCTGGATCTGCCACTGCTGGATCTGCCAGCATTCTCTGATCTACTGAGCTACTGCATATAGTCAACAGTGTAATAGAGTCAGATCTAACATCAGGGTCATTCGAGAGACTACCAGAAAGACTAGATTGGGCCGAACCATAAGACCACCAAACAGACTGAATTTATAGACTAGATAGAAAGCAGTGGTTTGGTTCACAGGGTAGAATAAACCCTGCACAGCTTGGGGACCCGGGTAGTCCACCCCGATCCCTAAAGAAAAAAACAAACTAACAAAGAATGTCTTAATGAAAAAAATGTTTATGTGTTGTTCTACAGGGTGTTAACCAAGATATATGGTTACAGGAGATGTTATATAGAGATACACTAGTAAAGAGAGAGAGAGAGAAGAAAGGGCATTTGAATGTTTAATGCTCCAGTTTAATGTTTTAATATTAAAAATAAATTTACTGTTCAAGATTATCTACAAATACTGTTAACGCTAAAAGAAGTTATTTTGATGAGTCTGGCAAGTAACTAAACAGGGGAGATATAGCGAGGGCAGATGTGTATATGTTGTATAGGGAACATATAAGGTGACGGACCGACAGGAAGTGGGGGTTGGTGTTAATGTACGGAGATGTGGACCTGTCTCCCGTGTCTCATCTGGAACTATCTATATAATATGAACAGTGATTGTTACTAAATCATTTCAGAATTACGGATTCTGTTGGTTGTAAAATGTTAAAATACAACAGTCAGGCAACTCAGATGCAAACTGATGTTAAGGCGGGATTCTCAAGTCCCTCCTACTTCCGTGCGTCGCAATGCTAATCTCTATAAACTTAGCTTTGCTTTACTTGGCGCTCTGTTAGCCCAAATTTACTTGTAGATCTGTGATGTATCCCTGGGCTTTATAAAGACACCGGTGAGTAAAAAAAAAACAAACAAAACTCAGCCTCATCGAACACACACGCTGTACATTAAGACAAAGTTCCGCGGATTCTTGTCCTTAAATCGACACTTGGTTTGGTTTAAGGAATAAACTGGGCTTTATGCAAATCAGTTGCCTAGTGTCGAGTTACACCATTAACCATTCCCCGCTAGCAGACAGCACAGATCGGTTGATGAGCACAGATCTTTCCGGTAGTTCACGCGCAGCCGCGGTTGATCTCTATGGGTGAAATGAAAAGTATAGGAAGAGAGCGTCGAGAAGAGAAAGATGGTGGCGAAGATGGCGAGCTATGAAGCCGTGTGCCACCTAGAAAAAAGGTAAAGGTCGTTTTACTAACTTATTATAGAAAATAACGTCCTGCTCTGCAGTTATTTTATTTTGTGGCTGGTGGTTTTTTGAGCATTAAGGTCGGACAGTGATGGCAGCTGCAGATTCGAGGCTCGCATCAACAAATGGAGGTGGTACCTACGTGAAGCTGGTCCCCCTTTCTTCCAAAATATTGAAATAGCGATGTTGTTCGTTTGTGCCGTACATTTTTTCGTTTGTGCTATCAAGGCTTTAGAGTTATTAAAAAAAAACGTTTCTGACCTGTAACGTCACGCAGCCCCGCTCCGCGTCCAAATCAATCCAAATTAGTCTTTAAAGTCACGCAGCCCCGCTCCGCGTCCAAATCTTTAAAATTTGTGCCGCGTTTGTGCAGTTAAAATGAATTTGAAATTGGGCTAAACTCAACAGGTCGTGTGTTTTAGGTTAAATGTAAACATTTCTACATTCGTTATTTCGAATTGACATCGCAGAGAAGAGTTATTAAAACGGGCTTGCGTCATTATCTTTATGTCTATGCGTGCGCGCGTAAAATGAAAAGAAACAAGAACAACAACTTGTTTTTAATTATTAAAACAAAAAACGTTGTATTCTTGTAAATTAGCATCTATTTCTACAGTTTGTTTTTATTCCCCTGACATTTTTATTATCATCCACCTGTACATCTCTAGGCAGGTAATTTAATACTGATGACTCATTTCCCTTTGTCTAAACACAACACTACTGGTTCTTGGAGCTCATCCGTGTCATTATTAACACCAGAAAAGGCATTGTTTGTACCAGTAGATATCACTTAAATTCGTTCAACTACTGTCTGTAAAAATGTTCACTTAAAAGTTGAGGCTTCTTGTTTTGTAAGTAGCTTAATATCTCAGAAGCAGTGGCACCTTCAGGACGTATTTTGTTAATCAAATGTGATTTAAATGAAGGTATATTCGTGACAGATGACGTGCTTTAATAACAGCAGCTTGTTTTTCTCCTTGAATTATTCTTTAAATTTATATCTGACCACCCCTCGGTCATTTTAGCTTTTTTAAACAACTTATTTTAATTAATTGTGTTTAGCTATTTTGTTATGTAATCTGGTCAATTGTATATTATGTAGTTTTGGTAAATTTTGTTTACAATTAATGTGTCACATTAATTAGTTTTCTTGGCTAATGTGTTTACTACTTTTATACACCTTTTGGGCCAACTTACCCATTTTGCTAAAGGTTTGTTTAACTGTGTTATTTGCTAACAAGTCTACTATCTGTTATAAAACTGCACCTTCTTATAGTTGCCATATATTTATTTACCATAGTTAATGTATTTTTCTGAACTTAACTTTAAGTTAACTTTAAACATTACAAAAAACTGCATTTTCAGATAAAAATGAAAATCAGAACTCTGTAGAACTGTGTGATCAGTAGTTTCCAGACAGAACATAAAGTCATAGTTCAACATTCTTTCTCCTGCTTGGGAAGTTGCCACACAATAAACAAAAGTTGTTTATCTCCACACACATGTCCTCTGTGTGTGTGGTGAAGTTGTAGAACACATGGTTATGGTGTATATCTTTTAGAACTCTTTCTAGAACCTGTTACCATGTTTGTCAGGAAGAAAAAGACAAGTTTGAGTAGAAGAAAAGGCACAGAGGGAGTTTAACCAGTGTCAGTAAAAAAGCAAAAACAGTAAAAAAATGACGTTGATTAGTAGGAGGTGTGTGGTGATGTAGTGGTTAAGGAAGCGGCTTTGGATCCACAAGGCTTCAGGTTCGAGTCCACCCACTGCCAAGTTATCACTGAGGTGCACTGAGCATGGCACCGTCCCCACACACTGCTCCCTGGGCAGCTTAAAGCTGCCTACTGTTGACTTTGGTGATGGGTTGAAAGCAGAGGTCACATTTGGTTGTGTCACAATGACAGGTAGTTCACTTTCCTTCCTTTAAATATCGTTTCCTGGACAGATGCGTCAAAGAAAGGGAAACCGCATTGTGTTATCAGGCCCGGGAGACACTTAATATTGGTTATGACACATCCTCAGGTTCATAGTGTTGCGTGAGGGATGTCTGACCTACTTTTTCACATTGTAAACTTGTCCTTCTTGAAGGATTGGCTCTCGTATTTTTTTTTTTATTTTTTGAAATTTTATTGCACAGCCCTCAGCGTGTTGGTTCTTGTTGAAGATCACAGATCAGACGCAGCAGACAGGAGACTCTGTTTGGATTGATGTTTCTACAGTCGACTGTAGGATGTGATGACATTATGACATGTAATGAAAAAAAAATTCAAACATTTTGGGCCAGTTCAAATGAATGCCCTCTCAGTATAGAGTTTTTATGTTCTTCTTGTGCCTGTGTGTGGTTTTCTTCAGGTTTTCCAGTCTAAAAACTATGGTGTTCATAAGGTGACCAGAGGTGTGAATGAGAGTGTGAATGACTGCCGGGCTGTTATGTAGCCCTCAGATGCACTGATTTAGGATTAAACCCTGTTCATTTGTTTTTATGAAATGCATGCTGACACTAACACTGTAGTACTGTGTGTGTAAATAGTGAAGTTCTTCTGTTGGATGTCCTTCCTGACGAAACCCTCACAGTGTCTCTGGGCCTGGAACCAAGGCTTTGTGGCTGGACTGTGATTTGCACGCAGTACGATTTAAACTTTTGTGGGAAACCTTTGCCAGAATTCCAATTAGGATCCCTAGTGCATGTTAAATGATATCAGATTAAATATAGTTTAGAAATAGGTGTGAATTTGAACATGAACGTGAGCATGAATGGTTGACTAAGTAGATTTACACAAACAAGGAATTTGATTTGAACTATATGGATTTATGAAAATATAAAATACAAAATGTCCATGATAAAGTAGAAAAATAGGGTGCAGAGTGTTAGTTGTTAAGAAATTATTTTTTTATTGCTCACAATGAACAGCAAACCTGATAATTTTCTGTTGAACTTTTTTCAACTCTGCTTTATTTCACAGGTGTCAAACTCAGACCCTTGGGCCAAATCTGGCCCATGCTATAAATATATTATATATATATATTTGGCCCGTGAGATAATATCAAACATGTATTACGGTTGGCCTGCCAGTATATAGCCCCTATATACTGAAGGATTTGTAGTATTAGCACATTTTTGGTTGTTCTTTTTTTTGCCTGTGTAAAAAATTACATTACAAAGGAACTTGAGCTTTTCAAATTCCTTTTTAATGTAATCTTTTCACATAAAGAGACATAATAAGAAACAAATACCAGTCGTGTATGTTTTATGTCAAATTTAATTTCTCATGTGTTTATAGTATTAAGCTTTGGTGGTTCCAGATTCAACGTTTACTCAAAACTAAAGTTTGTTACCATATGAAAATATTCAACATAAAATATTTGTAGAGAAGTGAAAAAATGCACAATTGCTGTACATTTTTCAATAAATATTGAGTTTGGCAACTTCATCACAGTTTTTAATTTTGGCCCAGTGTGAAGTTGAGTTTGACATCCCTACATCATATTAAACTGCATCATTGTCACTGTGCTGCTGTGACTATGGGTGAGACAGAGAGTGTTGGGGTGAGACAGTAAGTCTCTCATTCACCAGTGTAAGAATGTAAGCTGTATACTTCCTGGTTGTTAATCAAAATGCATCAAAAAGCAAAAGTGGTATCATAGTCCATGGCTTTAGAGTTACAACAGCAGCAGTTTTTTCCACATGTTTAATCACAAATAATGTGATTTATGTCGTTCTGAACCTGAATCTCCTCTGCTCTGACCTACAGAAAGGACGATGTTCCTGCAGCTAAAAACAAAGGTAAAACACCCACTGGTCCTCATCTTGTTCCTCCTGCTAATTTGTTCTCCCTGTCTTTTAACCCTTTCAACATAACAAGTTTACAAAAGTAAAAAAGAAAAAAATTAAATGATGTAAGCAACATCAAACTACAAAAAAAGATGATTTTTGTAGTTTGACATTGTTTACATTAATTAAATTAAAAATTGTGCTACGTATCCTGGACTGGAGAATGTAACACTGATTATAATATTGCTCCAATATAAAAGTAAATGTAATGAAGCAGCCTGAACCAAGTGTTTTGAATATGCTGCTGCATGTGTTATTTAATTCCAATAATTCTAATATTTTTATTGACAATTGAAATACATGTATTTAAGGTCAGTTTAACAAGACACGTTTACTGATCCTGATATTTTGTACGGAACCAAAAGTTAGACAGAAGAGTTTTCTTTTCCAAATCCACATGTTCTCTTCACAGACTAAACTATAGAATACTAACCTCAAAACTTTGTCTTTTTGTTTTTTCAGATAATCTGGGTGAAAGTGACAGCAGTTCTGGTAAGAACAAAGATTTATTTTATCTGTACCGTTGCTCTAAAGTTTCATTTGTGCTTAATCTGACATGTTTGTGATGTAATGATTGATCCAACAGAAAACACAGGAACATCCACAGAGGAGAGCGCCAATGATAAGGATGAAGAGACTGGTGAGACACAAAAACTATATTTAAATTTAATTCATAAATAAATTGTTTCCAAACTTTACCAAGATGGAGAGGAAATATTGACTGTCATTGAGAAAGTTCTTCTGGGATAAAAAGGAAAAGGCTGTAAACAGGGGGAGTGGTTAATGTGCACTGAATATATTATTGATATTCAAGGAAAAACTCACATAATTCATTTATCTTTTTCCTTAAACATTCATTTCAGAAGTTCATGCTGAGAAGAATGAAGAAGATGATGGTAATGAAGAAGAAGGTAAAATTTTTCAGGCGCTGTTGTTTTCAACAGATGCAGACAAAGGCCCAGGACGAAGAGTTTAAAATTGTTGAGAGAATTTTAACACCTGCCTCCACAGACAGACCAACTGTTGGTTTACACCCTTACCTCCACTGTCAGTTGTTGTCCAGTCAGTTGTTTGTATCCCAGAAGAACTTTTCTTCTGGGAACTTTCTTCTTTCTTCAGCTTCAGTGGTAAAAACATAATCTGCAGCCAAAGACCACGTCTTAATTAAAGCACTAAAAACCTCTCCATCTGCTAAAAGTTGAACCGTTTCCTGGAAAAGTAATTCCACTGGATGTAAAACTCGGAACAACTCCATCCTCCAGTTCAAACAAACAAAAAAAAAAAAACAGCCCCAGGATGTGAAGAAGTCCTGTCACAGGGAAAAAACGGAGTCTGTTGGGTCAGCTGTGAGGCCGCAGCAGCAGCAGCTACAAGGTGTTTGAAGACAAGGAGAGAGAGTAACGGGAGAGCAGGTGCAGAGGGAGGTGAACCTGACTGATGGAGCGCCGTGGAGTAGGAGAGATGGGGCAGAATGTTAATCTGTGATATTTAGTCCAGGGCTTCTTACAGGAAGCCACGGTTCAGCTGCAGGAGAGGGATGGACGTCGTACCGCTTATGTTTTAAATTACACTACTCCAATGTAAAAGTAAATGTAATGAAGCAGCCTCTTCTCTTCACAGACTGAACTATAGAATACTAACCTCAAAACATTCTCTTTTTTCAGATAATCTGGGTGAAAGTGACAGCAGTTCTGGTAAGAACAAAGATTTATTTTATCTGTACCATTGATCTAAAGTATCATTTGTGCTTAATCTGATATGTTTGTGATGTAATGATTGATCCAACAGAAAACACAGGAACATCCACAGAGGAGAGCGCCGATGATGAGGATGAAGAGACTGGTGAGACATAAAAACTATATTTAAATTGAATTCATAAATAAATTGTTTCCAAATTATACCAAGATGGAGAGGAAATATTGACTGTCATTGAGAAAGTTCTTCTGGGATACTGCAATTCATTCACATCTTCAAAAAGGAAAAAGCTGTAAACAGGGGGAGTGGTTAATGTGCGCTGAATATATTATCGATATTCAAGGAAAAACTCACTTAATTCATTTATCTTTTTCTTTAAACATTCATTTCAGAATTACATGCTGAGAAGGATGAAGAAGAAGGTAAAACATCTTTTTTTCAGGCGCTGTCTTTGACCATAATCAAATATTAAGGTTATTAAATCAGATTTTCTAACTTTATCTGTTGTTTTCAACAGATGCAGACGAAGCCCAGGATGAAGAGTTTAAAATCGGTTAGCTAATTTCAACACCTGCCACCACAGTCAGTTGTCCAGTCAGTTGTTTGTGCAGCAGCACAGCTTCAGTGGTAAAAACTTAATCTGCAGCCAAAGACCACGTCTTAATTAAAGCACTAAAAACCTCTCCATCTGCTAAAAGTTGGACGGTTTTCTGTAAAAGTGATTCGACTTGATGTATAACTCGGAACAACTCTACCCTACAGTCCAAACAAAAAACAGGCCCAGGATGTGAAGAAGTCCTGTAGTGTATTTGCGTTGATTTTGCATGTTCGCATGCCTTGATATTGATCTTCATCATAATCTTCCTGTAGATTCAGTAAGTGGAACTGCAGCAGATGATCTAAGTAGAAAAGAGGAAAAGACTGTTGACGTCACATTACTTTGTCACTCCCAGCAGGACCTTTAAATAAATTAAGTGTTGTTTCTTTTTTCATACTGTCTTACAGAAGATGTACAATTCAAACAGTTCTGTGAAAAATGCAAAGACATCACTCAGGTGAGATCATAAACCTAAGGGTCAGAGGTGACACAGTGAACAAAGAATTCTTGCAAAACTTTCTGAAAAGTTATTTTCCTGTTGTGGTCCAGGTTGTCAATAACAGTTAATTAACACATAGAACTGAGCAATATATTGAGCTTTTACAGTATTTATTAACAATATATTGATAAGAAACCTGACATTGTTGTCACCTTTAATGTCTGTTTTTATGAATCTCCTGGCAGTTTCTCTTCTCCTTCTGTCTCTGCCTTTCTCCCTCCCTCTTTCTTCATAGCAATAAAATAATAAGTAAAATTAAATTTAAATTACTTTAATCTTTGTGTGTTTGAAATGTTGAACATGATTGAAATGTGATCCAGATGTTGTCTTTCTCCATTTTTAATGTACTTTTATATTTAAACATTTCTGTGCATTAGTACATTTACATGTTATTTTTTAATTTTAAATGTGTGTGTGTGTGTTACAGAGCCATGACTATGAGCTGGTTACACCCAGGAGAATCTCCAAAGGACAATTACAGTAAGTGTCAAAATGTATTTTCCTCCCTTCACCATCTACGTCTTCAACACTGTCACTGAATCAGTGTTTTCATGTTGTTATTGTCAGGGTGCAGCTGGACGCAGAAGGAAGTTATAAATGTTCAGTAACTGGCCTGGTGTTTGAAGCATCAGAGCGAGTTCTAGTGCGGTACTCGGTCTTGTCCTGGTCCAAGTTCGGTGCGTTCCTCCCGGCCTCCTGGAAGTCTGCGGGGCCCATCTTTAACGTGGACACGGTGGATAAAGAAGCATCTGTCCTCAAGTCCATCGAGTTCCCACACGCTGTCTGTCTCCCTGGTGAGAACTTGGTTTCTCTTCTTCCAATGTCCAATCCAATTTTTCAGTAAATGATGAGACTTACTAACAGAACCACTTCTCGTCTTGTCTTAACACAGACCCAAAGAATGACACGAACTTCGGCGTCCTTCACGTCAAAAACAACCAACCGCTTATTGAGCCAACAGTCAACCACTCAGGGAGTCATGTTAAATGGAATGTGACCTCTTTGTCACCGGTGGGTCCCATCATCCAGACCAACCAGTCTGTGGAACACCATGGAGTGGTCATGGTCTACAAACAGCTGGGTAGTGACAACAGCAACAGCTTCCACATCTACCCGGCCACCAACAGCTCGTCTGACATCAATGTAAGTGGTTTTGTCAAGGAACATGTAAAATAAAAAGTAAGCTTGTACTTCAGCTAGTACTGGTACTGATAATAATTCTATAATATACACACAGAAAGTCAGAATATGGAACATCTGTATTAAACTACAAAAATGACTGATGGGAATCGGATTCCACAGGTTACCACAAGAGGGAGCCACAGTACCACTAGTTTCTGTGTATGATAGTTGAGAACCACTGGTCTACTAAATTTGTATAAAAACTACTAAAAGACTACTTTTTAGGATTAATTGAGACGTCACTTTACTGTAAACATAAAAGGTTACATTTTGTATTTCTAAAAAACAGTATATTTTAGACATCGAACATGTGACAGGACCATGCAGTGGAATTGTGGTAACTAGTGCTGCCTTACAGCTAGAAGATTACAAGTACAATCCTTTGTGGTAACTAATGGTTTTCTGTATTTCCTTTTCATTGAATGGATGAATGAATGACTATAAATGTGTTAAAGACCAAACAACATTTTATTCAGATGTTGTTATTAAAAACAGCAGGAACTATTGTATGTGCTGCTGTGTTGTCTGGTAAATATGAACTGGCCCAGAAAACGTTTTTTTAAATATTGTCATTATCTATATTTGTTGTTTTTTATACATCCGTCCTCCCCTCCAGAGTTGGACCAAAACACTTTGCCTCTGTCCCACTTTTAATTAACTGTGGAATTTGTTGTTTTAATGAAGGGAGAAAAAAGTTAAAAATGACTGCCCTGGTTTGAAAAGCCTGGGGAAGATGGATGGTGGTGGTGTGTTGGTCATAACACTTGTACTGGAGTTGGACAATTTGTTTTTTTTAGGCGACTCTAATAGTCAAGTCCCTTCGTTGTTGATGATGTCATTGATATTTTAAAATCCCAGTAGAATCCAGTATTCTCTGAAAACATCAAGTTGATATAATAAGAACAATGAGATCATTACGAGTGAAAATATCAATACACTGAAATATTGCAGTACTTTGTTTCACAATACCGTATTGATATTCTACAGGACTGTTTTGATAAGCATGCAGATATTGATGGTGGTTCATTTTATTTTGCTTTCATTTCTTCTTTAGTGATTACCAATGTAGCTCCATCTGCTGCAATTTTAGTAACCTGATGTTAAGCATGGAGCAACATTTTGTGTTTACGACGCTAACAGTTTTCCTACAAGTATATTGTTATAAAAAAACTCTATATATGGCCGTGCTCTTTATAACGTAATATATCGTATCGTTGCCCCTGTATCGCAATATGTATCATATCACGAGATTCTTGCTAGTACACACGCCTGAAAAACAAAATTCACAACGGGAGCCAAGTAATGATGACTGTCCTGCTGCTGTAGAGCCTCCATTTGCTTAGCATAAAATTACAAGACAGTTGACGTCAGTAGGGTGAAGACTCACTTGCTTTGTCCTGGTGTCCCTACCACTAGGATAGACAGGTTACATTTGAACTAATTGGACAAATGGGGAAACCTGTCTTTTTCCTGGGTACTTCTGGTGTTCCCGGAGTTCTTCATCTGTGCTGGAATAATCCCCTGCTTCACTTTCTCTTTCATAGTGAAAGGTCACCAACATTTATCAAGTAGAAGACTATTTAAATAAATAAAGGTGAGGGACTCACCTGTTACTGCTGCTCTGCCTCCTCTGTTGCTCTGTGTGAGGCATTGGTGTTAAAAGGTGTGGACAGACCCCACCTTTTTGTTTTCTCCTGAGATCTCCACATAATGTCAGAGGAGTTTTCTTTGTCAACCTGAGAATCTCCAAATTGGTGTTTCCACCAAACCTCCACATTTGGTGTTTTTTCGCAAAGGAATTTTTATCCTCCTGAAGTGAGAGCAGAAACCAAACGATATAAAAAACACTCCATTTCATGTGCACTTCACGAGTTCAAAAGAAATATTCCATTAAGAAAGCATCATCTGAGTCTCTACTAATTTGATTCACAATCAGTTCTGTTTGGATAAAACTCCAGCAAAATGCCAAACATTTAAAGAAAAAAATGAAGTGGGGACTAAACTTAGTTTCATTTCTTGCTGCTTGATGTTGTTATTTAATGCTGAGGCAAAGGAATGAGGCACAGGTTAAAAAGTGTTTAATTCTTCACCTGGCTTGATATATATACTGTATATACAGTATATGGGCCTGGTTGCACTGAATGCACTCCAGCCCAGTAGGTGGAGATATTTCACCCAAAGTTTGTTTTGCCAGATAAGAAAAAATATGCAGAGGATGTGTTTAGTGACTTCAGTAATACAATATATGTAATATAATATATAATATGTGTTTCTGTTTGTATGTTTTACTAAACATTTTCCCATTTTTTTCTCCTCTGTCTGGTTTGCTCTTAAAACCAGGATGTAAGCAGACAAGTGCGATGCTACAAGAACCGTTACATCCGCATAGAGAAGCCTCCCACTTGTAAACTGGAGGAGGGGACATACAGTCTCCTGTGTGAACCAGAGGGAGACATTAAACCTCAGGTTGGTTTGGCTATAATATTTGATTATATTTTATTTTAACAGAGGATTAGTGGGGAACAGAAACTGCATTTGTTTGACAAACGTCATTTTTGTGTCTCCATGCAGGAGTTAAAGTTCACTCGCGACGTGACAAAGATGAAAGGTTACTTTGAAGTGTTCATCGAGCAGCCTCCTCCGTATAAACTGTGTCTCATAAAGACTGACACTGAGGAGACGGTGTGGTCTGCCACTATCAGAGAAGGTCCGTCTTCACACAGCAGCTGGACTGGCTTCAGTGTTGAGAACAGAAATTTTATCTAAACACTCTTCTTACTTTCTTTCATTTCCTAGGAGACTGTGTTGATACCACAAAGAAGAAGCCCAGGAAAAGGACAGGGAGTGAGTATATTTGTGAGTGAGAGTGGGAGTGAGAGTGGAGCTGCCAGTTACTGACCTCTGAACTAGTTTGAACTTTTTTGAGATTTGTAATAGCAGAATCATCCTTTGTTTATGTCGTGCAGCCTGCAAGCGCAGCAGAAGTCCTTCAGAAAATAAGACTGTTTACAAACGGCCTCGATGCCAGAATGGATCAGGTGACCTCCTGTAACATTTGCTCACTTCATGAACTGTGACCAAGTTGACAGAACCAGTCTATACTGGATCCGTTCACTTTTGCACCTGTGAGTTAAAAAAATCTCACAATGTGTGTGTGATGGCATCTTTTTTTTCCAGATGGACTTAAAAATGTGGTGACTCAGGGCCAGGACATGTCGGAGAAGCAGCTGCTACAGGTGGCTCGGCAGCTTGGCAAAGAGTGGAAACAGGTGGCCATTTATCTGGGACTGGTCTCTAAGGACCTGGATGACATTCAGGCGGCGGAGAAGGACGTGACCATGCAGAAGCTGAAGATGCTGGTGGAGTGGAAGAGCCGACAGATGCCAGGAAGAGCCACGGCGTTCCACCTGTGGAAAAGTCTGGAGGACTTGGATGAGCTGCCGAACGAAGTCCAACATACTTTACAAGTGGAAGGAACATATTTGTAGTCTTGATCAGGATTATATTCAGCACATAAATCACAGACAGTAGATTAGTGGTGTTCCTGCAATGCCACATTTGGCCACTAGATGGCCACAGCATTGCCATATGCATCCCTTCCTGCCCGTTCAATCTTGCTCAGGCTTGTGATTAGAGCTAGTTTCAGCAGTGACTGGGTGTAGGTGAGTGTAACCCATGTCCATCACAGGGTCAGACTACCTTTGACACCCACACCTACTGTCAATTTAGAGTGAATTCACCTAATCCTGTGGGGAAAGAACTGGAACACCTAAAGCCCCCTCCTAACCCCTCATTCTCCAACCCCCAATCCCACACATGGGGAGGCTGTGACAACTTTGGTGACCTTGCTGTGAGGCATGTTCAACAACCACCCAGTGAGTCCCTGCATTTCCATGTCATCCAAAAAAGTCTAAAAAACGGAACTAAAACTAATCCTTGACACCCCCCCATCCTCCCCAAACAGCCCTCATCACTGGGTCAAACACTCATCAGACAGACAAGTGAAGCAGTCAGATTGCAGTGCTCTGTCAGCTGATAATGATGAGGAGACAACAGAGACTCTTTACCTCTGGACCAACAGCCTGCTCCTATGTTGTTCTTCTCCTGAATCATATCTGGACATGACTCTGAGACCAGTCTGTAGACCGGTCATCATTGGACCACCGACCCCTCTGTCCATCTGATGATGTCATCTGAACGTCCTGACTGCTCCAATACTGTGTCTCATTCATCCACTCTTCATTTCTTTTTGTCCAGTAACATTTAAGAAAAAATGATTGAGCTCCTTTTTTGCTGTTCTCACTTTTTTTGGAACTACATCAACCACAAGACATTTGTCTTGGAGCAAGACTTTACTCTAGCAGTCCTCGGATTACAAGCCATATCATCCAAGTGTGGTACACGCTACAAGTTTCTTTTTTGCAAGATTTTACCCATGATTTTTGCTCAGCATGGTCCAAACGTGTCTTGGTGTGTGAGTAAAATGGACCAGACCTCATCACACATCTGAATCTGGACACTGTCAGGTAGAGTGAACCGATGATTGAGCCAACATCTGTCGACAGCAGCCAATGGAAAAGAGAGGCTGGAGGTACTGTACACTGGAAGTACAGTACAGTGGACGACAGGAAGTAGAGAAACTATCAGAATGAGGATGGAGAAGAGAGTGGCACAGTGGAAACAAAGTGAAGCTGGAGGTCAAAGGTCAGTTTGAATTCTTCACTTGTCTTCAGGTGCTTTGACCAATCCTGTAGTCTGTGATTAGACCACAACCAGCTCAACCACTGACTAAAGACTTTCTTTTATATTTTCAAACCTTTCCATCATGTAGCGAGTAGTAGATAAGCTGTCCTTGAACACATCGTTGTGTAGCCTGGATTCATCAGGGATTTTTCAGAACAGAAGACTTTTTGACCACTAGTGGTCATTAACACTTCATGCAGCTAATGCAGCTAGTAATTGAACTAAATGGTGCTGCAGTGTTGATGCTGCAAACGTCTGTGAGTCCATCCTGTAGTTTTTTTGTTTGTTTGTATAAAACAAAGAATTATGTCGTGCAGGTTACTGTCCAAAGAAGGGCTGAATTACTGAACAATTGAATGTAGATTTATGTATTTAATGTTCTGTACATATGTTTTTTTTACCTGAATCTTTTTTTAGTTAAGTCTGTGATTTTTTTTTTTTTACTCTTCTTTGTCTTTTATTTTTCCTTTGAACAATCTGTTCCAGGTTTTTTTTTAAGTCTGTAAAATTCATCCAGGCAACATAACTGCTGACAGCTATCACAGCTGGTAATTTCACAAACAAAAACTTGTTAGAATTGTACTGTTAGTTGGTAAACATGGTCCAAATGTTAACAGAGTAATGTTAACAGATGTAGTTACAGAAATTATTTACAGTCTTCTGATCATGAATGTTTGTCTAAATTATTTAATTATAAACCACTAATTCAGGCATTATTATATCAGGAATGTGTCTTTTCCAAACTTTTTTTTTTTTTTTCAAATAAAGAAAAAAAACCCAACTTTGACTGAAAAACAGTTTTTATTCTTTAAATATGTAAAAATCACTCGCCAGAAAAAATACATAATAAATAGCAATAAATAAAATCTCAAATGACCAAATAAATAATGTAATAAATAATCCTTAAAAAAGAGAAACAGACAAACAAATATTAAAAAAAAAACACTGGGAAACGTAAACAGAACCATGTGACCTGCACGGTGTCAGCAGCTGGACCAGGTCGTTGTAGCTTATGGAACCATGAGGTGCAGCATGAAGGACTATGTAGTAGTATGAAGTACTAGCAGTGGTAGTGAATGAAGGAGTGGGCGGGTCAGGTCAGGTGATGACTTCAAGCTAAAAGGGTTTTTGACTGGATGACTCGAGTGACAATGACGATGATGTGTTGATGATGGTGATGATGACTAGGTCTCAGGACACTCACTTCCTGTGCTCTCCTGAGGAGATGTAGCCCATGGCTCGGTTGATGGTGATGGCTCGTACGTAGAAGCCCCTCATCATCTTGCACATCTCCTGTCTGTTGGTGTAGGTGTCGCTACCCCACATTTGAGCAACGTCCTGCAGGATCACATGAAGGTAAACAACATGAATCATATGTTTCATTGTCTGTTGAAATATTCAATGTTACTTTTATATTGTTTTCAGCTTCATCCACCCATCCACTGTATCTATCTTTGTACTAATGTTCTCCTCCAACACAGTAACAGTATTTGTAGTAAAGTACCTCTGAATATTTGATATCCTCACTCTTCAACAGGGAGCAGTTCTGCAGAAACCAAGACAGATTTCATTAGGTCATTCACGTGTTATTTCCCTGGAGATTCACTGTGTTTTTTTTACTCTGTTTCAGTGTCTGTTGCTGAGGAAAAACACCCAACTCACCTTCAGGCTCTCAATTACCCCCAGAGTCGGGCTGAGAAGAGCCACCTCCTCTTCAGGGCTTCTGAGAGGGGAGTGGATGTAGGATTTAATGGCAGCTTCATAGTAGAGCAGGTCCTTCATGATGTTCCTCAGACAGTCCCTCTGCCAGAACAACAACACATGTCAAGAGTTTTCACAGGGAACTGTTTTGTGAAGGTTACATTTATAGATGAACTAAATGGTGGTACCTCACTGAAGGATACATTTCTCTGCAGATTGCAGCTTGAGTTCTGTTGAAAAAGGAACCATTGTTTTAAACATGTGCAGCTTGTTTGGTGAGTGATTTACTGTTTTACCACTGCAGCATTTTGTTTTCTATAAGTATTTACAAAGTATATTTATTAGTCATATTGAGTCCTATAAATTCAGAGAATGGAAATCACCACTACTACTATTAGTACTACTACTTTTAGGGTAAAGTAAGTGTCATCTAATACGTGGCCACACATGGCCACTACTTCTACCATACTGAGAACAAGTGTCACCTGTGTCAGTGGGGGGGTACAGGTCAGTAGTGTCTCCGTCTGACTCTTCACCACTGCTTTATCAGATGTGATTCCAAAACACAAGTTGTCCTGAACGAAAAAGGTGAGCACAGTCAGTGGCGGTTGATGTGTAAACCAAACCAACATTTGATTGTGAGTTCAGCGGCTGAAATCTGAGAGCTCGTTTCGGCCTGTAGGTTACATGTGGGTAAAGAGGTGGCAACCGCACAGGAATTTGGACTGGGGCTAAAGTCGTCAACCCTGCACTACCGCCACCTCTGCCTTTAGAGTATATTAGAGTTACTGGTGAATATTAGTTTGCTAAGAGATAGAAAAGAAAAGTGAAAGAAAAAACAACAACAAACAAAAATTATTAGAAAATAAGACAAAAACTATAATGAAAAAACATTATAGATAGTAAATAATACTATACTTTTAATAATAAAAACCACACACATATATTCTTTTGGATCACCACACAACACATTTGATTTTTTAATTATAGTATAATAAGTATTATAATAATAATTGTATTAGTATTTTTAAAATAATAAGAGTAATAACGTCTAAAATAATTCAATTTACTTCAATAGTAAAATGTTTAGAAAATGTCACAAAAATGTTAAAAATGATTGAGCACTTGTTTACAGACTGATCTTTGTCTTTCACCCGCAGGTCATTCATTTTATGTTTTTTTCCAAACAAACAAACAAACACCCATCTGACTGGGCCACGCAGGAGTGTGTACTCACACTTTGGAGGAGATCGGTGACGTTGAGCAGCAGATTCCTGAAGAGCAGAGAGCACTGAGCACAGCCGCTGTCCCCTGCTCTCAGTGGCAGCGCCGAGGTAGCACTGGGACAGAGGGTCAGGAGTTGGAGCTGCAACAGCAGCGGCAGCAGCAGCGGGAGCAGAGCACTGCTTGACGGGTCTGCACGACAACACAGGCAGACGACGGTGAGCACAGCAGAGCGGCATGGTTGATGGTGTGTGTGTGTGCGTGTGTGAGAGAGACTTACACAATCGAAGTGTGTTCATCCTCTGGAGCTCTGTTCAACCTGCAGGTCTGTGATGTGTTTGTGTGTGTGTTGTCTGTGTGTGTCAACTGTCCAGCCTCATTGATTTATATGCATTCTCGGGGGGATTCCCTCCTCCTCCTGTCCTCCCCTGCTCCTCTCCTCCTCTCCAGCTGAAAGGAAACTCACACGTTATTTCCTCCTACGAATGAACACAAACAAACAAACGTGGGAAGTCACGCTGCTTCTTTCATATCTGGAGAGAAAGTATTTTCTCAGCCGGCGTCAGAGTGTGGTGTAACTGTGGGGAAAACTGAAACGGTTTTTTATGACTCTGAGATTTACTTCACATTTGAATTTAAAAAATGTAAACAATGAATGGGCCACTCCTCCTACTACTGTGGCGTGTATAAGGGACTCTATTATTATTAACAATACAGTTATTTAATGGTTAAAGTATTAAAATTATTGTTGTTATGTTTTTGTTGTTGAGTTTTTGGAACTTTAATTGTAATTGTTATTATGTTATTTATTTTACCAGATTTAGTTTTGTGAGATTTATTAAGGTGTTCAGTTCAGTTCTTTATTGAAAAAGGTCACTGTGGTTAATAATAATATAATTAATGAAACAACTACAAGGATTAAAACCCCATAATCATAATAGTTGGTATTTTAAACTTCTTTAAACTAATTATTATCTTATTATTCTATATTATTCTTATTATACTTTCATGTTAAATATTTTTACTATAATAATAATAATAGGTGGTGCTTTGGCCCAGAGGCAATGTCTCTGTCATTGGTGTGGAACCCCAGGGTTCCCCTCCTGGGCAAGTTCGAATCCTGGTTAGGGTGGTTGGTACCTTCCAGTGGACTCACCACCCACAGGAAGGTTTGGGAGGTTGGTACGGTGCAGTGTGATTTGGGTGGAGACTGCTGCCCCCGCGACCCGGTAACGGATAAGAGGATGAAAATGGATCTATGGATAATAATAATAACAATAATGATAATAATAATTAACAATAATAGTTCTTATCATTATCTGTCTTTCTATTTGTTTATCGACCAGTTTTGTGACCATTATTTATAAGCAAATACATTTATAAATTTACAAATATGTACAAATATAAATATAAAATATAAAAATAAGTGTAACATATGTACAAATATAAAATCTACAAATAAATTAAAAAAATACAATTCTTTAATAACTGCCAACCTAAAACCTAGAACTTCACTTTCTGTGATGTCAGTATTCGACTTAAACTTTTAGGCATTTGCCACAATGTTTTGGAAGCAACTTTCAGTCTCACACAGTGTGATGTCATCTTCCAGTGACAGTCTCTAGTCATGATTTGGTGATTTTCCATTCACAACCTGAAAGTGCAGCTGTGAGTGTGGTCAGTTCAGAGGACTTTCCTGGCCTTTCACTGCAGGATATTTGACTACCCATGATTCCGTTAGACAGGAAGTGGGCCGATGAGTTTCTCACCGAGTCAGAAGTCACACTGGACTGAGTTTGACTAATTAGTCCTCAGGGCAGGTGAGCCACTAATGAGGAGTAAGAAGTGGGTTTTTTTGACAACTGATCTAAAAAATACCATTTCATTCATGGCTAAACCCAAACCACACAGTCATGTGTTTAGGCCATGGTGACAGGGGAGAAAGTCATAGCACAAACCACTGCTCTGTTTTCCCACAGTCGTGTCAGAAACTGTTAAATTCAGTCTGAAATGTCCTTGTTTAAGTCGTTCAGACCAGAGATGTCTTTTGCTGAGAGCAGCAGACACAACTAGAATGGGAGTGAATCAGAGGAGACGTGTGGTTCAATGACTAAAAGAAACTCAATTAAAGTAAAATCCTGTAAAAGGTCGAGCAATAAATAATGATTAAACTGGAGGCCAAATACTTAGTCCAGAAGTAAGAGATAATCTGGAGCAGGTTTAAGGATTACGCAGTGAAATGTCTGGAGAGTCGTCGACATCAAACTATTGCAGCAAAATGAAGACTCACAACAGAAAACCAATGGCAGGATTCATTCGTTCAGTCATTCATTCATGTGTGTGAAAATAATTATAGCGTTTGTAGTTTTCTGTTTCATCTTTAAGTCAGTACAGAAAAAAATGTTTTGGGGCGTAAACTTGCACTTTACATATTTCGGGGAGTTTATCTTTGCATTTTGTCATGATAGTAAGACTATAGTCTTGGATGTTTTTGGTGATTTTTTTGACATTTTTAAAATTATGTTTTTGTATATTTTAGCACAAATTCACTTGGTGGCATGTTTTAGGACA